TGAATTTAAATGAAATTGGCAACATCTTACAAAAACTCACCACTAGATTCAAATGAATAGGTGTACATTGATCTGGAATTTCAAAAGATACGAATGAATTCGCTGATATGTCCTTGGAAACATTATACCTTCCCACAAAAAACAATAAACAAGTAGTAATCAATAGAACAATTCAAGGCAGCAAATGAAAACGCCAACTGCATTAGTAACCGACTGCTATCGAGCACTCAGATAAACACCAAACTCTGCAACAGAAACTGAAAATTGACACGTAGATAAAGCAGTGCAGAAATATACAGCCCTAATTACATATCACGGATCAAATTTATCCTTTGACAGTATCGAATTTCAAAATAATTGATCAGAGAGAAACCTGGATACAGTGGCAAGGTGTTTACGAACATCGAAGGAGGATTCACCAGCGTTTGATTGTAAGAAAACAGGGAGGAGTAGCAGTATGATGAGATTAATTGCAAGCTTCACCATTTCTTCGCTGCTATTGATCTGTGTTTTTTTTCAGAACTCTTGTGATTATTTATACTCTAATTTTTTATTCGTTCTATGAAAGTTCTTTTGCATATTTGCGACATTCAAGAAGAAGCCAAATGGTGCTATATTGAGTGGTCTAAGACAGATCATAAACGAAGACGGACACACACGAAACTTCTTTATGGGTTTTAGTTGCGGGGTCCATCATTACAGCATCCGGTTCATGACTCATAAACACGTGGCAGTTGGCTCAAAGCTTGGGTTTTAATTGGGCCTAATGATATGGTTCATGCAGCAAAGGTGGTAAAAATAGCACGGTCTAGCCAGTTTTTGGACTTGTCATTCAAAAATAGCTAGCATTTATCAAGTCAATGAAAAATAATTACTATTTTGCTTATATAGAGACCGGTCCAATATAATATACTGGAGTTCGGTGCATCTGTATATGAACTTCCAGCATATTATGCTGGAACTCCAACACACGGAAAGTTCTAGCATAATATACTGGAGATTCGAGCACTTGTGTATGAACTTTCAGCATATTATACTGGACTGATATACTTTGCTGGAACTCCAGTATATTATGCTGGAGTTCTAGTGTACTTATGTTGGAACTCCATCATATTATGCTGGAGTTCCAGCATACTTATCCTAGAACTCCGGTATAATATGTTGGAGTTCAAGTATACTTATGCTGGAACTCCAGCATAATATACTGGCATATTTTTCGAGTTTTGAACAGTATTTTCACTCAAATTTATCTTTACATGAAAATTGGCTAAATTTCAATTACTTTTGAAACTGAGTTATTTTTGAACTGACCACTTATAAATTTTGCTATTTTTGAATTTCACCCTCTAGGTGGGGTGATTTGCACAAAGACGATCATTTGGTGCCACCGTTAAAATTTTAATCCCGTTAAAAAAATTCTTGTAAAAGTAATCTCCGGTCAACTATGCTCATTAGAACTTCTTGCCCTACGGCAATAGTCATAATTGGCTGCAAATTTTGACTATCGTCGTAATAGATTTGCAAAAGTTTAGGCAATCATCTGGCAATCGTTATAATTGGACGCAATTTCTAACTATTGCCATAACTGATTTACAAAAATCCTGCCAAATTGCTATAATTGGCCACAAATTCTGACCATCGCAGTAACTACTGTAAAAAAAATCACCATCATATTTTGCTTCAAGATTAATCCAAATCAACGCCAAAAGACTTCAAATTTGATACAACCTTCTAATATTAATTTCGATAATTTTTAGTGGTTAGATTCACCTTAAACCTTCAAAAAATAATGGACGCATTTTGTTTTCTTCAACAAGTTTTTGTAAGCTCAAACAAAAAAAAACAAAAAGTAACAATTGTATTGTGTAATTTTCTTCGGAGGAGGAGAAGTAAATGCAAAAGGATAAAGTAGTAGAAGAAGATGCAAATGGAAGAATGTCGGATAGGTAAAAAGCGAAAATTTCTTAAAGAAGTCAAAATATAAAGATGAATTTTCAGAAACCACTATTGTTTGTGGCTATTAACTTCCTATAGTTATGATATACATAATTACTTTCTATATCTACTATTCAGTTGTTAGAGTAGTGTATGCAAAAATGCCTAAAAATCAGGGTAGTCCCGTTGTACGCGCATGTATTCACATGTATTCGCGCCATGTATTTATGAATACAGCAGCGAAAAGCACCTAAAATCAGGGCAGTCCAGCTGTACGCGCATGTATTCACATGTATTCGCGCTGTTGTATGTAAAAAACACCTAAAATTAGGGCAGTCCAGCTGTATGCATGCGTATTCACATGTATTCACGACATGTGTTCATGCATACAATAACGGCAATCACCTTAAAAATAGGTATGTCCAGTTGTCTAAGAGAGATGAAAAATATAAATAGCATACTTCATGCCTTATTTCATGCATCAATGGTAGTATATACCATAAATACTTATTTTGTTATAAAATATAAAATGTAGCTATAGAAAATAATATTTTAAAATAATTTTGATTTATAATAAATAGGGTGTATACATTTGCTATAAGAGGTAAAATTTTCAAATATAAATGATCTTAAAAATAGCCACCCAACGTAATTAGGCCGCAAAGGTGCGTGGACTTCCAGTTGGACCAGGGCAGCTTTCACAATGAAGAAAAAAATCGGTGTTGATTTAATGTATTTTTCATTTTTCTAATAATGTTAATTCATAAGGGAGCATGAAGAAAAAAGCTCTCCGTACATTATATAGTCGTTACTTTCTAAACGGTAACCTTACGCGAGTCTCCAACACGCGCCGCCCTATGGCGCCATCCTACGGAGACCCACTGGCGTGTATAGATAAGCAAATTAACCCTCCATCTACGGCGAATCCATCCGTCGAAGGAATTTCTGGGAAAACCGATTATGCGACTACAATCACAACGGCAACACCCAAACAAACAACCAATATATGTCATGCCAGAGAGTCGATTATTGCAAGACATACCACATACAAAGGAATGCCGGCTACGATTTTCAAAGCTTCTGACAATTATGGAATTATGGTTGACGAATGTAGACTGACCATCATTGGCAAATTTCTTAAGCCAAGGCCCCAAATTGATAAAATTAGGTCTACTTTCAGAGAATTTTTTCCAGTGAAGGGATCAGCTAAAATCGGCGTCTATGACAACTATAATGTGTTTTTGGACTTTACTAATGAAGATGATTTCAATTCTGTTTGGTTCAAGAGGGTTGTTGAAGTGGATGGAATACAGATGTGGCTTCAAAAATGGATGCCGGATTTCAAGCCAGATGAAGATATCCCCATTGTTCCGGTATGGGTTCTGCTCCCAGGTCTTCTTTTTAATATGCACACATGGCATTATGTAAAGCAAATATGTAGTGAAACTGGCACACCGTTAGCGAGGATGCTGCCACTTATGGTCGAACTAGACCAAGTATGGCTAAAGTTAGAGTCGAAATCGATCTCCTTAAACCTCAAATATAAAGTGTTTATATGGGATACAAGATGAGGATTCTCCACTGAAAGGTTTTACTCAGAAAATAGAATATGAGAGTGTTCCAAAGTATTGTAAACATTGTAGAAAGCTTGGCCACAACATGGTGAATTGCAGGGTTCTGGAAAGGAAAAGGACAAGTGAAACGAAAGAGGCTGAAGAAAGCAGTAAGGAAAATCAGCAGAATAGCAATGAGGATAGCAACTTTATTGATAACAAAGGAGGGACAAAGGATGTACAACACAAGAAGGAGAACATGAACAAAAGAACTATGACCACTGGAAAAATTGAGCAGACCATGTTGACAAGAGTCAAAGACAAGAAAAAAAATCAGAAAAAGAAGAAGATGCCAAGAAAGAAAAGTAAGATTAGCTTCAAGCCTTCTCTTAATCACATTAAGAGAAAAGGGAAAAAGGTCACTACTACTACACAAGCTCAGCAAATTTTGATTGAAGAAAGCTGCCGAGATGAGAGCAAAGTTAAAAATGGGAAGGAAAAGATGGCTGTTGAACATGTGCAGGAAGCGGAAACTAGTTCGACAAAAGAAAAAAATGAAGTACAGCAACACAATCAATAAAATAAGGATAGTGGGGAGAAAATCGAGAATACAATTAAATCATCAATAAATAAGGAGGAAATCACGAACAAGAAGAGGTACAAAATTAATGATATTGATATGTCCACCAGTTTACCCTCGAGCATTAAAAATCAAGAATCTATACACTTGGTTGTTGAGCTTAGAGGTGAACACTCAGTCGACCAACCACCTAAACCCCTCGATGGTAACAAAGAAAATACACAATTTTAATATAGAGACACTGGATCATCACAGTCCAAGGGAGAAAGATCAAACCAAAATGAGAACTTTACAAAAATGCAACATGAAGACGATTTTGAAAATGAAGAATATTCAAAGGACAATAGAGGCAGAAGCAGACAAAGAAACAGAGAAAGAAAGAATAAAACAAGAACCTCATCATCCAGCAAAGTGGGAGAACAGAAACAGATTACTACCACTCCAATATCCCATAATTAGTACAATATGTTGGAATATTAGGGGGGTAAGATCCAAGAAAGTAATTCATAGACTTAAAAATCTTGCCAACATTAATAAAGTGATGTTCATTGCTATCTTTGAACCTTTTGTGAATATGCGCAAGATTGACGGATACAGGAGATTTCTAGGTTTCACCCATTGCTTGGCCAATTCCAATGGGAAGATCTGGTACTTCTGGAAACACATAGATCATGAAGATATTTTGATTAATGATGAACAACAAATTATTCTCCATTTCAAGGACACTTGAACATTGATAACTATATTACTGTGGTGTATGCTAAATGCACTTCTGTGGAAAGAAGAGATTTATGGGATAGTATTGAAAGTATGAGCAATCGGATCAATGGTCTGTGGTACATTGGGGGAGACTTCAATTCCATAATGGACCCTAATAAAAAGTTAGGGGTAGACCACATAGAGCTCACATGTGTTTTGATTTCATTAGTATAATGGAAGCTTGTGGCCTTTCTGATCAAGGATTTGTAGGTTCCAGATTTACTTGGTGCAACAATAGAAGACCTAGTGAAAGGATTTGGAAGAGACTTGACAGGGTTTTTGTGAATGATCAATGGACCCAAAGGTTTCAAAGCTGCATTGTCAAGCACGTGGTTAGAACAGATTCAAACCACCGACCTCTTTTGATGAAGTGTCATTCTGATCAAAAGGAGTTTATTAGGTATTTCAGGTTCCTTAATTTTTGGACAGAACAAACAGATTTCTTGGAGGTTGTTCAAGATTCTTGGAACATGAATGTCATTGGCAATGCGATGTGGATACTTCAATGCAAACTCAAAACTGTGAGCAAAAATTTTAGCCAATGGTCCAGGAATATTATTGGTGATGTGAAGGAACAAGTAAGTATTTGGGAGGTCAAGGTCCAAGCATTAGAATAACTGAACATTCTCAATAACACAGAACATGATAGGGAGGAGCTAAACAAGGGCCATGCAGAATATGTTAGATGAATGGGTATGCAAGACTATCTTCTAAGACAAAAAGCTCGGATTAAATGGTTCAAAGATGGGGATTGCAATAGAAAATTCTTTCACAGTGTACTTAGAGACAGAAAAAAGAGGTTACAAATATACAAAATCAAGAACCACAGAAATAGATGGGTTCAAGGTGAAGACAAAATTGCTAGAGCAGCAATCAAATATTACAACACTTTCTTCAACCTCAACCAACCACTTTGAATCATGATTTGCTGCAATGTATTCCTCAATTGATTACAAAGGAGGAAAATATTTTTCTTAATAGCATGCCTAATGAAGATGAAGTTAGAGAGGCTATCTTTAGTATGAATCCTGGTAGTGCTGCTGGACCAAATGGTTATAATGGAATTTTTTTTCAAATATGCTGGAATATTGTCAAGCAGAATGTCATGGACTTTGTTGCATAATTCTTAAGAATTGACTAAATTCTATACTCATACTTGTTTGGCTCTTATACCAAAAATGGAGAATCCTTCCACCTTCTCTGATCTTAGGCCCATCAGTTTGAGCAATTACACCAACAAGATCATCTCCAAGATTATTTCCAAAAGACTCAATCCTCTATTAAATAAGTTAGTGTCCAGGAACCAAAGTGGCTTTATTTCTGATAGACTAATTACAAAAAATGTTATGCTTACCCAGGAAATTGTCCTTAATATATTCAAGATGAATACTGGGAGAAATATTGTTCTAAGGCTTGATATGGCTAAGATCTACAATTGAATGTCATGGACATTCCTTGTGGCAGTTTTAAAAAGGTTTGGCTTTTCCGAAACTTGGATTAATAGTATTTGGAGACTTATCTCCAACGTGTGGTATTCTGTTCTTATTAATAGATCCAGAAATGGATTCTTCTCTTCATCACAAGGCCTGAAACAAGGTGATTCACTATCCCCTTCACTCTTTATATTAGCAGCAGAGGTTCTCTCCAGGTCACTCAACAACCTACACAACAATAACAACTTTATCCCTTTCTCCATGAATCAAAGAGATCCTCGGATTAACCACCTTGCTTATGCAGATGATATTATCATTTTTAGCAGTGGCAACAGTAGGTCAGTGAAGCTGATTAAGAAGCAAATTATCAATTATGAGAGGACTTCTGGTCAAAGGGTGAACAAACAAAAAAGTTTTTTTTCTCACTAACCCTAAAGCTAGTGCTTATAGGATCAATAGGATTAGAGCTTGTACTGGTTTTATGGATAAAACTTTTCCGTTTATATATTTGGGCTGCCCTATCTATGTGGGGAGGAAGAAGATTTGTTATTTTGATGATATGGTTACTAAAGTTGTAAAGAAACTCAATGGGTGGCAAGGTAAGATGCTCACATATGGTGGAAAAATGGTTCTAATCAAAAGTGTGCTTCAGTCTATGCCTACATATAATCTCACTGCTATTAATCCTCCAAAAACATCTCTTAATCTTCTGGAAAGGCACTTTGCTAGGTTCTTCTGGGATTCTAATGCTGATAAAGCAAAATATCATTGGAGATCTTGGAAAAACCTTTGCCTTCCTATAGATGAAGGAGGTATTGGAATTAGGGACATGACTGACATCTCAAAAAGTGGCATTCTGGTAACTCTCAAGCATGGAAATTCCTTCTTAACATCAGAGATAATGCAAAAGCAAAGATCGTTTGGAAAATAAATAATGGAGACACTAGTATGTGGTGGGATAATTGGAGCGAAACGGGTGCTTTGGCTACTCTCTATCCAGATGATGTAACCAACCATAAAGCTAAAGTCAAGGAGTACTTCACAAATAGAAGATGGAACCTTAACAAATTGAGAAGAATCCTTCTAGAATATATGGTGCAGCAGATCAACAACATTGAGATTGGCCATGAGGATCAACATGATTATGCCAACTGGAATGCTACTCAAGATGGATAATTCTCCAACACGTCTGTATGGAATATGATCAGACACAAAAAGGATGAGAACCATGTTCTAGCTCAGGTATGGCACAAAATTCTTGCCTTTAAGATATCTTTTCTAACTTGGAGATTATTTTTGTGCTGGTTACCTTTCGATGAAATAATTAACAACTTTAGCAACCAGTTATCCTTTATGTGCTTTTGCTGCTCAAATCCTATGTGCGAATCGATCCAACATGTCTTCATTGAAGGACAGGCTGCCAAGCACATATGGAATTTCTTTGGTGCATCGCTCGGCATTAGGCATCACCACTGGTCTCCAAATATGGTATTGAAAAATTGGAGGGATACAAGGCCTAAAAATGAGGTTCACAAACTACCTTCAAGTTGTTCCAATTTGTATTTTCTGGGAAATATGGGGAACAAGGAAAATTTGTTACTATAAGAATGGAGGTGCAAATACAATGGACCATTAATGCAGCTCTTTCTATTGCCTTCCCAAAACTAAAAACAACTGGTACTTGGACTCAACAATGCAAGACCATTGAACAACTCAAACCAGTGGTAGTATAGAGACAGGTATCTTGGCAAATGCCTGCGGTAGGAAGGTTTAAGGTTAACACAGATGGAAGTTTTCTAGGCAACAATTCAAGAGCAGGTATCGGAGGAGTTATCAGGAATGAACTAGGTGATTTGGTTATGGCATTTTCAATTCCTATCCAACGCAATAGCAACAACCAAGCAGAGGCACAAGCAGCCAAATATGGGGTAGACTGGTGCTTTCAAAATGTAATACGTGCTTTCGATTTGTAATTAGACTCTCTGATTGTGACAAATATGTTGAAAAATGAAGACACCAACAATCTCAAGCTTAGAAAGATAATCAAAGACATCACCTCGACAGTCACTAGGGCAGAGGTACACTTCACCCATTGCTTTAGAGAAGCAAATCAAGTAGCGGATTCTTTAGCTAAGTTAGCCTCGTCTAGTGGAAACGATACCTTCGACTACTCTTTTCAACAACCTCCGAAAGAGGTGAAGGGGCATTTTCAACTTGACAAATGGCAACTTCCTAGTATTAGAAAAAGATACGACAAAAGTAATTTCTTTGTAAGTTGAATTCATAGTTAGCTATGGAAGAGTTGTATAGGCTCTCTCTTCCAACTTTTTTTGAAGACTGCATCAGTCATGTTTCTTTTGAAGGTTAAGGTCCATGTGCCCCTCCTCTTTGTAATTTTTGCACGTGAATAGACATGGTAGGGGTCGAGCCTATCCCCCAACACCAACGGCACTAGCCTTGGTGATGGCTTAATAGTTTAAAAAAAAAAGGGGGGGGGGGGGGGGAGCATGAAGGGCTAATTGGGCACTGGTCATTCGAATAGAAAGTATGACAATGCGTTTAAAATTTTGTCATCCACCATTTTTCAGGATTATACTCTATCATGCACACTTTTGAAGAATTGCACTTTTTCGTCTGAGCTTCAATAGCATTGCACTTTCCCATCTCGGTAAATTTCATCATAAAAACCTCAATAATGATGTCAAATATGCAGAATAAGTTTGTACATATAATTTTTTTACACCTGGTTCCTTTCCAGTTAACTGTTTCTTTTGATTTATCTCTCTTTTATTCTTTTGTCATTTTGAAATTTAATCCTGTCTCGAAGAGTTTAAACATTTGCTTGCATGAGTGGCTTTTTTCATATTGCCTTTCAGGTCTAATAATTAGAAGAACAAGAAGAAAAGGTAGATTTAATTAAAAAGGGAAATGTAAACCTTGCTGTTTGAATTTGGAAGAAATACACCTCTGTGTATGCTCTGTTACCATTTCTTTTTACTTGACGATCCCGCGTACAAATGTCAAACGTGCCCAAAATCCTTCAGATTAGTGGAAAACAGAAGTTTAGCTCTGATAATTATGAGAGATTGGGGAGAACAAGAAGAAAACAGTTCGGCTCCACAGTAAATTTGGTGCCTATTAGATTTTTTTTCACTACAAAATTGAAGAAAAATCAAAGAGAACTATCACCATACATGCAAGCACATGTAATTTTGGTTTAAAGAGACCATATCTTGAATTTACACTTGCCAATGTCCTCCTTCCATTTTTTAACCCCTCCTCGGATTAAGATCGATTAAATTGAAAATTGAATTACGTTACCAACTTTCTTTTCCTTTAACCAGAGGAGGAAAAGGAGAGAATTTTGTGATAAAATTATGATAAACCTAGAATAACTTTATAGCAAGACTTACAAATACCCAATATAGAGGAAACATTATCACAAGAAATTCAGAAACAAAATACTCATATGCAAAGTCAACTTCTACTGCAGGTCCAAATTAATTTGATGCAATAAATTGCAGAAATACCCACACATCAGTTGAAATAAAGGGGGACTCACTTAAATTTGATACAGTGCTTTCTGGGTGCACTTCATGTTCAAGCTACGAGAGCAAGCATGATACCCTAGATAAAACTAATTAAACTCCAAAAGTACTTGACAACTACTAAACTATAGCACAGCTGGCTAAATCTATTAGGTCAATCTTATATGGACTTTCTTACCACTCATACTTTCTACTACTAAGAGGCCTAGAATCTCAGAGCCCTTTTCTAATATCAAAATAAACTAAAGACATCCTCCAACAATGGCAAAATACAAATGCAAAGTGAAATTCTATCTTCTCCTTCAAGCAGCAGCTCCCTCATTCAGCAGCATCTGATCGAACTGCCAGACACCTAAATCGCAACCAAAGAGGTAGATGTTATGAGAACAACTGAGGAGAGCATTGTATAAATAGGATATGAAGGTGTTTCACAATGAATAAGAAATATAATCTTTAAAAGGAGTGCAAGTTTACCAAGTCCTTGGCCAACTCTTCTCAGCTGAGCAACATATTCTGAGATCTTCTTGATTGCGTCCACCTATAATTAAAAAAATAGTTTCTTAAAATTCGTGAGCTACAAATGGATTTAAGATTTAACCTCAGTATCTTTAAATGCATATTGTAGTAGTATTTCTACAATGTAGTAAAATCATCACCTGTTCAACCAAGAACTCGCTTTCAAGAAAATCAGCCAAATGCACATCGTTGCTTCGTGAAGCTATCTGTTTTTTAAAGTTTAAGTACATCCATTAAAACATAAAAATGGTCACATTCAAAAAGCAAAGCATGTCAAATTGCCCTACTTGATATATATATATATATATATATATATATATATATATATATTTACATCACAAAAACCAGCAGAGTGATCATCCCTACATCAAATTTGATCCAAAAGTATGTCAACACAACTGAACAAGAATTTGAAAAAACTCACAGCGTGCAAGTTTAGAAGCCTTTGATTCGTCAACTTCTCCAGACAAAGTGCGAGCTCCATTGCTACAGTGCAAATTAAACAAAAAAGGAATTGGTAAGTAAATAATAAGTTCAATGTCCTTTTAGGAACTGTAACAATTGAAGTACTCCTTTCCTATGTTACTCGGACTCTCCAAAAATATCACCGGATGCGTGTCCGATCCTCCAAAAGTAGTGCATTTTTGGAGAATCAGACACGTGTGCGGCAGCATTTTGGAGAATCCGTGCAACATAGCTCCTAGCTAAGAGCTTCCAGATTCACGAGGAAGGGCAGTAGTTAATACTTAATAGGGCTCTGGGAGTAAAGAGCTACAGTATCAAAATAAACATGCGCCTAACTCTATTTACTTTTCTAGGACAGTACTGCTTATAAACAGAAAAGATAGAGATCTGTGGGCCATTGCCACAAGTAATCCATGTCCCAGTTGTTCAAGTAAATATTGACAGAGACAACCATTCATATTTAGCAACATAAATGGAGGAACACTTACCATACAATGCATCCCCCTTCTCACAGTGATCAAACTCAGTAGGTGGCGCACAGATAGACAGCAGCTTCACCCTCCCACCGCGCTTGTTCTAGAAACAAAGAATACAAAATTTAGAAGTCATCTACTATAAAAACAAGGCAACAGGAAAAAGATGAGTTGGAAACAGAATTATGATAGCAGCAAATCATCGAACACCTGGAATTCCATCAATTTCTCAGCGTGCTGTCTTTCCTCTAGACTAGATTCCTTGAAAAACCTAAATTAAACAAAGCAATAACTCAGAATTAACCCAAAAAAAATCTAAAAAACCACATAGGAAGACCATCAAAATTTCAAGAGGGTTTTCCGGAAAAATTACTTGGCGAGACCCTTGAGAGCAACGTTGTCTCGATCGAAGTAGGCAAACATCGCATGATAAACATATGAATTATTGTATTCCACACTGCAATCACAGAATAACTCATGAATAATCCACAGATTTAACCCTTACTTTACCTATTGACTTGAAAATTCCATTTGAAAAACAAAAAAGTAAAAAAATAAAAGATTAAAGGTTAGGAATATAAGAACTCACTTGATCTGTTCATTAATAGCAGCTTCGCAATCATCGGAGTACTTCTGGCGGCAAAGAGAGGTATCAGGAACAGCGGGTACAAGCATCAACTCCTTCTTCAACTCTTCAAAGGGCTCAAAGACAACGCCGGTCAAGGGCTTGTGGTTCGTCGCCTTTGAAGCAGAAACAACGAACCGATTTCCATTTTTTGGGGAAAAGCTCTTCGAAGATGAGAACAAAGGGCTCAGATTTTCCCCTTGGGTGTTCAACAAAGCAAAAGCTGGTGCCGCCTTGAGAAGCATGGTTAAAAATTAGGGTATGCAGAAAGGAGAAAATAAGAAGAAAAAACAGGGGAAATGAG